CCGCCGCCGCCCCTCCGCGGGCTGCCGGGTGACTGCACTCCTCGCCGGACGCTCCTGCCGCCTTCTTCCAGAAGGTCCCGGGAATCCTCACCCTTGGCGGATCTCTCCCCCACTCTTTCTAGAATTAGGAGGCTGTAACTTCCTGGGGCGTATTCCCTGTCTTATATCTCCATTCCCTGACATGTGCTTAGAAAACTTTTTAGTGCACCGCCGCCGCCCCTCCGCGGGCTGCCGGGTGACTGCACTCCTCGCCGGACGCTCCTGCCGCCTTCTTCCAGAAGGTCCCGGGAATCCTCACCCTTGGCGGATCTCTCCCCCACTCTTTCTAGAATTAGGAGGCTGTAACTTCCTGGGGCGTATTCCCTGTCTTATATCTCCATTCCCTGACATGTGCTTAGAAAACTTTTTACCCCCACTAGAAACGCACTAATGAAGTTTACACGCAATGTCTGTTCAGGTTTTCTAGAAACTAAAAGTTAGTTTCTAGAAAGTAGGTTATGAACTAGAGAAATAGACTTAATTTTTCACAATTATCAAAGTAACCGATGCTTATTAGAGAAAAAATATAAAATAATGGAAATAAGGAAAAAAACCTCTCTTGCAGCATCCATAGGCATTGTTAATGTTGGTATACTCGTATCATTTTTTTTCCATCCTGCATCGCCACTGAGCAGCCCTTCACAGACGTCAGTCCTCCCCAGGTCAAGGTTTTGACCTTTGACCTTGCAAAGACACTCTAGGTCTGTTTGCACAGGCTACCTAAGAGGCAGTCCCAATCTCTCCTTCCCTGGCAGGAACCCACAGGGAGGGCTAAAGCAAAACAGGGGAGGAAGTCACACTTGTTCTCAGGAACCAACCAACCAAAGACATTAACTTGGAAAGTCACATATACACCAGCCAATGTAAATAGATAGCAAGACATTGCATACACCTATCCCTTAGCACGGATCTTTCATTAACAGCTCCTCCTTCTGTAACAAATGCTATCCTCCCCCCTCCCCCCCACCACACCCAGCCCAAGCCATCACCTTTTGTTTCAAGAAAAGAATTATAAGGATGTGTTAAACATGGTTTCAGGAGGCTCCCACTGTGGTCACTGACCTTAGATGTCAATGCTATTTCTCCTATGTGCATCTCCTGCCCTGCTCTGCAGTGAAGGATCCTCATCCCTGCTGCTGGTGCCCTTCATCTCACCTCCACCCAGAGGAGCATCCTTGACCTGGATCTGACTTTGTTGGAGTGAGCAAGACTGAAGCCATGTTGATACGTAAAACCGCATGGGCTCTAAAAGATTTTGAAAGGACATAGTTTTTTATGTTAGCATGCATTTCTCTGAATTCCCTCTTTTCCTGTGGTTATTTCATATTTTGTACCTTGGTTATGGGGCAAGATGATATTATTTACATAAATGTAAAGTTGTTTTCCAGTCAGACTGGAGCTACAGACTTGCTACAAGACATGTACGATACGGACCTTGAGAAACCAAGGAAGACATCAATAAAGTTACACTGACTCCACCTTGAAGCAAATCAAAATCCTGCAGGACTCTGAGATAACAGTAAGGATGGGAACAGAAATCCAGTGGGACCTTGGTAAGACCTTGCACCTGGCTCCTTGCTTGGAACCTCCACAGCTCACGTGCCCCTCCCTCCTCCTTTTCATTTCCCGTGTTCTAGTCTCTCAACCCCTCTTTAAAAACCCCTTAGTAAATCTGAGTCTTTGAGATGGTTTTAGTCTGACTATTCTCCTCAGGTTTACTGGACAGATGGGTTAGCCTAATGTGTCTCCTCAGGTCACTGGTATTCCTGAATAAAAGCTGACTTCCTATTCCACCACCATTTGACTTTTGAGTGGTTTACTTTTGAAAGGGGGCAGGCAGCTGGACTTGAGTTCAATAACAAGATTTGGCAAGCCTAAGCCAGTCCTAAGCCAGGAACTGGATGACCTGGGGTAACAGATCGTGGCAAGGCAAACCAGGGTTTTTATTTGGGGCAGACAGTCAGACTTGGGCCTGCTAACAATTTGAGGCAGGGTTTTTATTTGGGTATGGTTTTAGTCTGACTATTCTCCTCAGGTTTACTGGACAGATGGGTTAGCCTAATGTGTCTCCTCAGGTCACTGGTATTCCTGAATAAAAGCTGACTTCCTATTCTACCACCATTTGACTTTTGAGTGGTTTACTTTTGAAAGGGGGCAGGCAGCTGGACTTGAGTTCAATAACAAGATTTGGCAAGCCTAAGCCAGTCCTAAGCCAGGAACTGGATGACCTGGGGTAACAGGTCGTGGCAAGGCAAACCAGGGTTTTTATTTGGGGCAGACAGTCAGACTTGGGCCTGCTAACAATTTGAGGTGTCAACCCAGTCCCTCTTCCCCTCGCCCTTCCTCCCCTTCCACTCCTGGTTCTGGTCTCTGGTTTCCCCCGGTGGGCTTCTTCACTTTTTTTCTTGTAGCTTCTTCTCTTCCAGAAAGAAGGAAGTAAATTCAGGAAGTGTGTGGCCAAAGGCAGATGGTAAGGTATGTTTAGGAGCCTTTAGATTCTAGAGAGTGGGACCCTAGCATGGCAGCAGCAGGAGGTAGTGTGAGTGAGGGGGGGCTCCCCCAGCCTCCTCCAGAGACTCTGCACACGCTCCCAGGAACATTGTGCATGTCTGGGTGTCTGTGACCCTGAGAGATTTTTATGGTTTCTGGCTTTGTGAATTGCCCTCAGCAAATTTTCAATCCCAGTCTGTAAAACATGTGAGCTCTCTCCTTCCCACACCTACTTCTCATACCCCTCAGCCCTTGCTTTGGTATAAAGATAATTTTAATATTTATCTAAGCCAACATTTGTCCATGTTTGTCACATGGAACAGTAGTTTCATGGAATGTTAGTAAACAGTATATGAAAAACGGTCCCTATGATCAAATAATTTGAAGAATGCTGGATTAAACTAAAAGAAACACTTTTTCAGGACTTATAAAACCTTTAGGGTGTTATTGTACATTTAAATCTCCAAAGGAATAGGTCATGCAGCATTACCCAAAGTTACTCAACCATAAAATTCTTTTTGTCACACCTATTTTAAGGCAGATGTTCTATGGAACATATTTTGGGAAATCTTGTTGGTCTAAACTACACATAATTGGAGCAATGAGTTAGAGACTTCTATAGAAACAAACAAAAATGCCTGTTGGGGAAGCGCGGCGGCGCTCCCACCCGAGGGTTCGGATCCCACATACAGACCGGTTCCCGCTCACTGGCTGAGCGAGGCGAGGCGCGGGAGCAACGCCGAGGGTTGCAATCCCGTTGCCGGTCCCCGGTCCGGTACGGGGGCAACACTGAGGGTTGCAATCCGTTGCCGGACACAGAAAAAGACAAAAAGACAAAAAAATAAAAAATAAAAAAATAAAGGTCATCTCAAGTGCAGTAGAATTAGAATTTTCCTTATTTTCTCTCGGGAATCACTCATTCGGTTGAATATTTACCTCCATTGCTTCTCTTGGAGTGAACACTCAGGTTAATTTTATTTCTATCTGTTTCTCTGTTTATTACATGCATCTTTTTTCTTCAACACTTATTAGGCATCGTGTACCAAGGAATGTTCTTAGTGCTTCACATGCATTATCTCATTAAACTCCCACAATAACTGTATGAAATAGAGATTGTTATGATCGATCCGATTTTGTAGATGTGGAGGCTGAGGTATGAAGAGATAACTTATCTAAGGTCACAAAGCTAGTAAGTGGCAGAGCTATGAGTCTAAGTGACTTATTGTGATTCCAGAGCTTGTGCTCTTAACTGCTACACCACAGACCCTCACTTAGGCATGTGTCAATCTATTCACCGCTAGCTGACTCTCAGTGTGTGCTAATGCAGTTTCTTTCAACTTATGGCACTTAGCTTACATGAAGAAAAACTCAATTCCGCAGCCCTGGGCTCTTCTGGGCCTGTCGTTCTTCCAACATGTGCCATTGGTTCCATAAAGATTAGATAGGAGTGTATAAATTTGGCTCAGAACAACAAACAGTTCTTTTATTGCTAGATATAGAAGTAAAAATCACTTGACTTACTGATAGTGACTGAGACAACTGCCTCATATACAAAGTAATAATAGTTAACATTTATTAAACATTGTGCTAAGCACTATTCTG